TTTATATCAACGAAAAAATAAAATCGGTGCCATATTATTTTGTCACCAAAGATTTTATGAAATTTCAATTACCTGCAGTAAAGTTGCAATAAAATTTAAAATTAGTGTCAAGTAGTAAAAATTTATTATATATAATAAAGAAATAAATGCATAAAATAAGGTGTAGAATCGTAATACGAATGCGGAAAAGTCAGTGGGTCATTGAACGGTATGTGTGCAGGATAAGTGTAGCAATTTCGTGAAGGAAATTTTATGAATATAGATTTTAGAGCGCCACTAAATAAGTGTATCTTTATGTTGAATCTATAGGAAGTAAAAATGTAATATAGATATTTTTTTATCAGCAGATAAAAAATTTCTTATTATTTTTTTACTATCAAGCTTTATATTCAAACAACACAAAAAAAAATTTATCGAAAGCGATATCCCACATGTCAAACAACTCTTCTAAAATTAAATATATCGATTGGGTAAAATCTTTAAACGTTTTTAAAAATAAAATCTCTCCACCTTTTTATTCTAAAGAGGAAATGTGTTATATTGCGGTTCATTTAATGTTGATACGATGTTGATGGTTCAACCGATTTGATATTATTTTTGACCGTGACTCAGGTGAAAATTGTCACGCTCAATCATGAATTATAAAAGTAAAATTAAAATTGTGTTATGACACCTAAAAGTATACTTCACAACTTGTTCTAAACATGTATTTTTCCGATTCATTGCATTTCGATTGCTTTTAATAGGCTTGAATTCAATTCGGAAAATACTTTTTCTAACAAAATTTTACAGTAATTTTTTATATTTTTCCCTTTCCAACACTTTCATGTTTTATTTTTTTTTTTTTTGGTAGTAGAACTCGTCTCTTTTGATTTCCCTAGTATTTCCTGTTAAAATGAAAAAAAGGTTAATTTTTCTCTAATGTAAAATCAATGTTGCGTTTTAAGATTTACTGAACCGTTAAAGGACACTTTTTTTATTTTTCTATTTTTGTTATGTATTGACTCCTTTCTTTACGCTTCAGAACTATTTTTGGTGCTTTATGTGCAAATTTTGTCATTTGTGGGAGATATTGATTTTATATCCTTTGGGTGAAGTGGAAAAACTCCTAACAAAGATTGTTTTTGAATTATTTTTAAACTCAAAATGGATAAGAATGATAACAAATAAACTGCTGCGAAAGAAAAAACGTATAGAAATAACTTTATGTTATATTATTTTTCAAATCTATAAGTAAGAAAAATATGCATTATTTAATAAATTTTATTATTGTAATGTTTAGATATTTACAGCAGCAAAATTTGATATAATGTGACAAAATGGATTGAAATTAAGTTATCTTTTCAAAGCAAATTTCTTTACAGATACTAATCTCATATTAGTGTGGGATATCACCATTGGCATTCGGTTTGTACAATAGATCTATATTGGGCGCAGTGCTTTTTTGGCTTCAATAATGCTATTAGCTGTAAACTCTAAGTTTAATATGGGATTGCTATACCAATATTATGGAAGTAGGACTGTGTACATGAATCAACGAAGATTGTAACGAAAGGATTAAGTTTTGAATATTTTGTTTGTACACAGTTTTTTAATACAAACAATACCTTTTCAAAGCCCCAGTCATTGTTTTCACCGGATTGGGCCTATTGCGTCGTTCGCAAAACCCTTAAATCAAAATCAAAAAAAAAGTATTTTATGTTTTTTTTAGTTTATAATAATCAAATTTTTTTTTTATTTTTTTAATAATTATATTGAAACTGAGTAAAACTCTTTGATTTAAAAATTAGAAAGAAAAATCATCAAATTAAAAATTGGTGTCTAAAAATTTTTCATTTTATAATAAACACTATTTTTTTAATAGTTTTTATTTCGATATTTAAAAACTAGTAAGAATAATATATATATGTATTAAAAAAAAGGTATACATTGTGATCAAAAAAGAACGAGAATTTAAATTTTTTATTTCCCACGCTTATCCAATCATTAAATTTTTTTTATTTTCACGCTGGCAACACTATTATACATATTCTGTCAAAGTTTAACGCATATCGTACGATTAGTTTTTGTTTGGCGTCTATACAAAACGTCGAAAAATATTCGTGTGGCGATTTTTATAATGAAAAATCAAAAATTAGATTTTTATAAAATAAAAAATTAGAACAACGTGCGTGCATCAAATTTCCAACGCAGATAGTGACCCCACATTCAGCGAACACATCATAACTGGTGATGAGACATGGGTCTATGAATTTGACATGCCCACCAAACAACAATCGACCGAATGGTGCTTCGAAGGTGAGCAGAAACCGACAAGGGAACGCCAAAGTCGGTCCAAAATCAAGATTATGCTGACTGTTTTCTTCGATATTCGATATTCGTGGTGTGGTGCACTATGAATTCCTTCCGGACGGTCAAATGATCAAATGGTCAATAAGGAGTATTATTCGCAAAAAGAGGCCAGATTTATGGAAGGAAAACTCATGGATTTTACACCACGATAACGCGCCGGATCACACAGCGTTGGTTGTGTCGCAGTTTTTGGCCAAAAACTCCACCTATATCATCAACCAAATACCGTACTCTCCAGATATAGCCCAGTGTGACTTTTTCCTCTTCCCCCGACTCAAATTACCATTGCGAGGAACGCGTTATGATAAAAAGAAAAGAGAATTCGCTGCGTGAACTAAAGGCCATACCTTCGGCGGCCTATAAAACTTGTATGGAAAATTGGATCAAGCATTGGCATGCATGCATTGCCGCAGGAGGAGAGTACTTTGAAGGCGATAATGAAGAAAATTAATAAAAATTAAAATTCTGCGTTTTTTTTTTAACTTCTTGTTCATTTTTGATCATAAGGTATATGAATTTGTTTATTTATAAAGAAATTAAAAAGTATTTAATAAATATTCTTTCAAAAATACTCTTATATATTTATACTTAAAAGAAGTATTTTTTGTTTTATTATTTATTTTATAGAATGACTTTATTATTAACCAGAAATATATAAAAATCAAATTAAAAAAATAACAATAAGATCTTGACAAACGCTTTGTCTTTTATTGGAAAGTTAAAAAGAAGTAATAAAAGGTAATGAAAAGAAATCAAAGGCAATAAAAAGTAATAAAAGTAACAAAAAGTAACAAAAAAGTAAAAAAATGTATAGGTAATAAAAAAGAAGACGGTACCATAATCCAATTAAAATTTCTTTCTTAATATTTTTAGTACAATATTATTTGTGTACGTTTTATACAAAGAATAAAAGATATCTAGAAACTTTTTCTTTCTGACACATTTAGCACAAGAAGTTAAATAATTATTTATTGATGAGTTAAATTATTTAATTGAGAACTATCCAGCTGTTACAATCACTTCCGAACTTATATTCCAACCGTTAATGGTTAGAACACTAAGCCATTTCAGGAGTATATTTCAAGGCTAATATATGCCCATTTGTTAAAGAGAAATCGATATTTATGATTTAAGGTATTAATATATATAAACAAAATAGAAGAAAATCAATTTTCATTTATTTTCAATGTTAAGTTCTACACAAAAAGACAATCACAGACAAAGAAAACACGTAAATATACTTTCCATTCACTTCTCAATTTTCAGAATAAAATTTTCAGTGAAAATGGAAAATAAAACTGAAACAATTCAATAGAGAATATTGACACGTTTCCCTCGGCATGTCATTCACATATCAATACGGCGGCCTGCCAGGAAAACCGTATATTCGGAAAGAAAAGACGAACACTAGAAAGTGAAAACTAATTCATTCAAAATAACATCGCCTACGTCGCCTACTAGTGAACTTACACACATACATACACAATATATTGTGCAGCCATGCAAGGTAGACGACGGATTATAGGGTTGCCATAATACGACCACTGCGCTTTCGCGTAAATATTTTGCATAATGACGTTAATAATCATATGTACACTATACCATATATAAGAATGTATGTATGGGTGTGTGTGTGTGTGTGTGTGTGTGTGAAACAATGAAGGAAACGTGACGATCGAATACACGAAGACTTGGACCAGCGTAAACACTTAAGCCGAATATTCGCAATAAGAGTGGAGTGCTTGCAAGCAGCTGTGAATTCGCCGCAGTCGTCGTTGGCAGTCGCGACACTGACAGCGAAGCGATAGCGATTTGGGAAAACATTGTAGCTTTACTTCAGTGTTTAGTGGACGGTGACATGTAAACAAACGCTGGCAGAATGTTAATGAAAATATTGCAGTTGTGTCTGAAAAGCGCAAAACGGAAAACTTTTTTTTGTGTTCTACTCTTTTTTTTTGCATCGTTTTTAAATTGTTATGACAAGTCAACAACACCGTTGCGCGGCTCCAAAGTGGGTTAAAAGTGTTACTTTGTGTGCAAATAAAAAATAATGCTCTCCACTGATAATAATTTTTCTACTTTCCACGTTTTTCAAGGAAAAGCTGATACGCTGAAATGCTTACGTGCGTGTATTTGTGTTGACATATGTCCGACGCAGCACAACATTGCGTGACTTCCAGTTTGACATTTTTGATTAGTTGCCACACATTGCCAAACCGACTTTAATTTTTAACATTTTAAGCTAATACATCTAGAAATATGTAATTTACACTTTAAAGGAGCTGGTTTTTCTACGAAATTATAACATATTTTTCATATATTTATTCATAATTTACACTTTGAAAAAGTTATTTTCATAAAATTATAAGTAATTTGGCATAAAGTGTAGTCATAATTCGTAAAATTGGAGCTAACGTGGTATAATGATTATTTATTGTGGGTGCTAATGTATTTCAGTCGTGATAATGTGGAACACATACTATTAATTTGGATTTTTTTATGCAATATCGACCATTTTTAAGTTGTGTGATTAAGTTGTGTGACCAATTGAACGCAAAGCCAAAGTCTAAAGCGTTCGTAATGGTTCAGAAAATAGTGGTGCGGAGCACAGTGTTCCAAAGAACAGGGTGCAAAGAATTGCTTTGCAGAGAATAGCAGTTCAGAGAATAACGGTGTAAGGAATAGCAGCGGTTCAAAGAATAGTAATTCAGAGAACAGCGGTCGAAAAAACAATGGTCTGCAAAATAGCGTTCCAGAGAACAGCAATCTAGAGAACAGTAGTTCAAAGAACAGCGATCCAAAGAACAGCACGACAGAGAATAGCGGTCCAAAAAACAATGGTCTGCCGGATAGTGGTCTAGAGAACAGCAATTCAGAGAACAGCAATCTAAAGAACAGTAGTTTAGAGAAATGCGATCCAAAGAACAGCACGACAGAGAACAGCGGTTTAGATAACAGCGGTTTGGACCACAATGGTTCACAGAACATTAGTTCAGAGAACAGCGGTTCAGAGAACAGCAGTTTAGAAAAGGCCGGTTCAGAGAACAGCGGTTTAAAGAACAGCGCTTCAGAGAACACCGCTTCAGAGAACAATGGTTAAGAGAACAGCGGTTCAGAGAACAGCTGTTCAGAGAACAACGCTTCAGAGAACACCGCTTCAGAGAACAATGGTTAAGAGAACAGCGGTTCAGAGAACAACGCTTCAGAGAACAGTGGTGTAGAGAACAGTGGTTCATAGAACATCGGTTCAGAGAACTCCGCTTCAGAGAACAACGGTTCAAAAAATAGCGATTCAGAAAACAGTGATTTAGACAACACAGGTTCGCAGAATATTCTCTTTCTATCGAAAGAGTTCGGTAGCAGCAATGTTAATGAGTAGTAGCTAAATACACATAAACCTTATGGCTATGGAATGCAGATGCATGTAAGATTAGTCGCTAAGTCAATGATTATAATAATGGTGACAAAAATGTCAAGAGGCGTACTGTGTAACAGTGGCAAGCACGGTGAAACTGTCATAACAGCGGCATATAAATTGCTAGTCGTATTTTTGATCTCAGTTTATTTTCAACAAAAAGTTAAGTGAGATGTAATAATACAAAACACAGCAACTTTTCGGTCATGGCTACTTTGGGAAATATCTACACCATATGAGAATACGATAAAAACTAAATAAGCAAGACTTGAAGCACAGATTAGTGGCATCTGAAGTCCCGTAAGCCCAGTCGTTTTTGCTTCTAAGCAGTGGTTAAAATTTTTTCATCACAACGAAGGACGTCGAGACAATTCTTTGACTGGAAAAAAGAGGCAGTATGTTACATCAACAAAAGATTAAAACGCGGTGTAGTCGTTCCGTACTTCTGGTCAAAACGAATCTCCGAATACCGTTTTCATTATGCAGTCAAACTGGTGGTAGATTGAGGCCGGCTTTGCCATGTCAATTATATGAGATGTGTACGGAATAAAGTTATACCCTAATCTATCAATTCCGGATCATGTACTTTATCCAGATGAAGTTTTTTATTGGATCCGGAGAACTTGTTTCGAACACCGCACTACTCCTTGGAGTACGAAAATAGTGTAAGGAAATTGTATGAAATTAATTTCATGCAAAATAACTATAATTTAATAGCATTGCGTACTAAGCGATAATAGATGTCAACGAGGCAAAAAAGTAAAATGTGAGGAAAGACAGTAATTAATTTACTTTTGAAGATAATGATAACTATCACTACCACTGCTCGTATTGAACTGCCTTGTAATGATATCAGTCTTTTGATAAGTTTGTTAATAGGTTAATTCCGGTTAGAGAACAATGCTGGAATCAACCGTTTAATCGTTCTTATTGCAATCCTGTGGAGAGTACGCTGAAGGTGCCACAGAATTGCTTTGTTAATATACAATGCATAGGCGACTCTGATATACCATTTTAAGTGCATTCTTTTTTGTGGATCTTCCCCAACTTCTGGAATGTTCCTTTAAAGAGCATTTAAGAATTTGCCAAAGGTTCGAAGACATTTTTAAACCTGTGAGTTCCTCTACGGTAATTACAACAACTTTGTTACTCTCACAAATCTACAAATTTCATTAAGATATTGCAACTGTGACTTACCAATTGCTGTGCATAGGCACTGGTTTTACTATCACGAATAAAGGAATAACATGTTTCTTCAAATTTACATTAAAGTGTGAATGTAATTTTCACTGTTACTGATTAATAAATTCTGATTGATTTTGTTATTTATACTATTAATCCGATATAAAGTTTGTATTTAGCAACTGAAAACAACTTCGAGTAATTACTGGATAGTTTTTTAATATACATAAATTGTTTACACAATTTCATTGCAATAATTTTAATGACTAAATAAGGATATATTTTATTGAACACTCTGACATTTTAAATAAAACGATATACGTTAATTGTTTGAATTGGTTTCATACTATCAAATTTTGCATTATATAAACTGAAAATATTATTTACTCAGCAACATTAAATATTTTCCGAATGCAAACTGTTTTTATTTGTCCGTTGTGTGTTGTTTCAATAAAAAGTTTATTTTCAAAAAAAAAAAAAATTATGTAAAGAAATAAAAAGCTACAATAAATATAAACAAAATTGCATTGGAAAACAGAATTTACTTTTTCAATAGCAAAAAATTGTATAAAAACACCACTAATGCGAAATGTTTGCGCACACCATGGCGTATGAGTTACAACCGAAATGAAACCATAAAAAGTTCCATATTTTTCAATACCAAAAACAAATATTTGAAATAAAATGAAATGAAAGTGTTTCTAGAAACAAAATTAAATTTTATTTATGCCACGCTTGTAGATTTTATATAAATTTCAACTTAACAATCTTAACAAAGTCATGACAAAGTAGAATAAAAACTCTGAAAGAAGACAAAAAATTGCGATTTATTGGACAAGAATGTGCAAATATGTAGGAATACTTAAAAAATGCATAGTAAAAATGTCGTAAAAATATTACAGAAATAGAATGAAATGCAGAAAGTAGAAGAAAGTAGTAAGAAGAAAAAGTAATTTAAATATATTGCAGGTTGTACAAGAAAGTTTAACATTTGAGTACAGAAACGCAGCAAATTAAGTAACCTTAATTGCCGCAAAAGGCCAGTGTACCATTTTTTAAACAAAGCACAGAAGGCATTTGCGTGTTTAAATTGCCCAGACGTAGGCATTTTTAAGTATTTTATGCCATGTATTCAAATTATGAACACAAATATTATACATATTTTACAGTAATTACGGCGAGAAACGGTAAATGTAATGATAATCATTTAAGTATAATTATGAGTATCGCAAGAGGGCAAACCACTTACCATATAAAATCCTTGCAATGCGAACAGAATGTCGGCTGCTTGAAGAAGCGCGGTATGAAGCAATGGTCCTTAACGTTGAAGACATTCTTTTTCTTAAGCGCTCCCTTGCGTAGGCGCGATTTCATTTTATTTTCACCGACGGCTTCATCGCTACCTGGTTGTTGTTGTTGTTGTTGGTCACCATTATTTTCGCTGGACTCCGACATTTTGATGGTACTTTGTGTTCTCTGTGATGGTGTTTATTGTATCTCGAAAGCAAAGTGGTTTAAGTTATTATAATTATTTTGATTAAAATATTCTTTGCTTTCAAATTTTTAAACCAAAATATTATTTAACACGATATGTTATACTTTTTAATTAATTATTTCTTTTTAATTTGGTAAAGAAATGTTTTAATTTTCAACGCTTTTTACTTAATACGAGTATCTTCCAATTATTAATTTTAATTTTCTTCTCCATATACTGAGTAAAATCTATATGTAATAATTTAGTTTTGAGTTCAAGTTTTGTACAGCACTTGAGCAAAATGTTTGGTTGATTTGGAATGTTAATTTAAAGCATCTTATATATATATTTTATATAAAGTACTTGAATATCTCAAATGCTTATCAAGCGGTTTAGTACAATTTACTATTCTAACACCTTTAGAGTAAGTAGTGTTGAATGCATTTTTTTCTCCATAGGTAATATATCCCTATAGGATCCTTTTATTTGATATTAAACATTTATATCAATTAGAAGAAAAATTATTTGCAAATTTTATCAATTAAATTCATAGAAAATTGATACTCCTTCCAATTTATATTGATTTATTTATTAAATTTTTTTTCCAATTTATTTAGTTTAATAAGTGAGTTTCTTAAAATTTGTATCATATATTTGGTGATTAATTTGGTATATGACACTGACTTTAATACATTTGAAATTAATATATGTGATTTTATTTAATTTCAATTTTATTTTAATTTACACATTTATTTATAATAATTTTGTCCACCTTTTATTTAACATATATGGTAATATTTAACTTGTAAATTTATTTTAAATTTACGTGAATTAGTAATTATAATTATATTATTATAATTTAGTTCAACAATCAACTGCTATTTCTTGAAATGATTGTTTTGAGATTCTATATATTGTTTTACCAATTAAATGTATCCCTTCGATTAATAAGTGTCCAGAGTAGAACTGAAAACGAAAAAGAATAAGAGTATGATTAATACTAATATTCAGAAAGAGAAAAAAATGGCTTATAAAATACTAATATTTATTAAATAATATAAATTAAATAAGTTCATAAATAAATATATAAATATATGTACATATATAAATATATATGCATACATATAAATTAATTTATAATACAATATAAAACATAATATATATATAATATATTTATAACGTAGTTTCTGTACTTGAACTGAATTAAAAAGACAGAGGCTATATTTAAATTTGAAAGTTGTTTATTGTGTTCTGTTTATTCCTTAATAAGGAAACTAAAAACATCTTCTGGGAAAATAATTTTCTTACTAAAATTTTCCAAATTCTGTATTGTCAATATAATTGAATTGTAATCCAGCTTACTGTGATTATTGAGAATATCGACGGCTACATTATTCCCCCTTCCGAAAAAGCACGTTGCTCCCGTAACGCAAAGTGTATACCTTACGATCGTGCTTATCAGTGACTAAAGGCTTAACTTCTTGTTCCTTAACATATTGCTCATTGAAGGCTGCTTTGAAGCCCTTATTTTTATTTTATTGATACCGATACTAATATCCTATCATAGTTAGATGATCCGATTTAGAGATCATAGGAAAATATGCGCCATTTTGTTCGATAACTTGCTGTACTTTGAAGGTAATTTCATTATGGCTCTCTCATAGAAATCCTCTCTTGAAGGTAATTTTTCACCAGAAAAATCGTTCGCCATGGACATAAATGGATGGTTATTACTTGGTGTCGGGATTGGAGTATAAAATTAATGCATAATAACTTACCATCCAAGCTCCCGAAGCTTTTGGCGAGTCATTATCTATATGCGTGATATGGCGTTGTTCTGATGGAACACAATTTCTCTCTTATTACTCAAATCTGACCGTTTCTGTGCTATTGCTTCTTTCAGACTAGTCAATTGTTCAGACAGACAGTACAATACCGAGTAAAGAGTTTTGCCGCAGGGGAGCAGCTCATAAAAGATGATTTTCTGCCAATCCCACCAATCATACAGCAAAACCTTCATACCAAAATT